CATGTGAAATACAAAAAATTATAAAAAATAAAAAATTGAAATTGGAAAAAATAAAAATTGATGCAACTTTCTTTCCTAGTAAATTTGTTTGCTTCTCGAAGCATTGATCCATCCTTTACAAGGGCCAGTAATCAGCGGTTGTGCTGCTGAGTTGGGCGAACGTTCCAAAAGCTGCTATTCAATCGCTTGTTTTGTATGGAAAAAGGTTTCACATGCAAATGGATTTTAACAATTCAGAATTTTTGTGAGAAAAAATTTAAAATATTTGACAGTTTCGAGACCAAATAATTTGAAAATAAATCAAATCAGCTGCTCTACTGATACTACCTGTTCAATGTACCTTGATAGGGGGTCTAGGCATGAACGAAAGACACAAGATCACGCCTTAAGGAAAGAAAGAAAAAAGTTATTTTCTAGCTGTTGAAATCTCGACGCCATCTTTGTTGTAAGAAGTAAACAACGAAGAGAACAAAAAAAAAAAAACGCGTAATTGTTGAACGCATGGATAATCAGTTTTATTATGCAAATTCTCCTATAAATCATGTCGTTTGTTAAATTATTCTTTACCTTATGTGTGCACACGTTGTCACAAGCGAAAATTAAGAAAATTGCAGTAAAAAGCCACCACCAAATTGTAAACAACGAACAAATGTAAACAAACGGCTTATGTCGAAATCGCCCTACTTTTTTCATAAGTGCGATTATAACGGGCCACTCTTGTGCTGTCGTGATCTTGTCTTTTTGGTTCATGGGGTCTAGGTGGTTGGGAGTGACATTTTTGTCAATAGTGGTTCATGCCCTCTCCTAAAAGGTGGGTTGTAGGTGCCACGCTCACTCGCCCTTCGCCCACCGCCCCTTTAACGAATGCCCTTATTGGAAAGCTGGCCCCAAAAAATTATTAATTACTTTTTATAATACTTTATACTTACTTTTTTTATTAATATACTTTTGAAAAGAGGTATTTTAATTAATCTTTTCATTGGCATACTATTTTTTTTCAATTGGTCGATTAGTTTTTGAGAAATTCGGGCAGGATCTGCAAACCACTTACGAGTGAATTTCAACCAAAACCACTTTGAATTGAAATTGAATGGGATTGAAATTCACTCGGAAGTGAATTGCACAACCTGTCTGATTGAATTTCTTATAAATTGAAAATCCTAGATTTAACCTTCGATATTTTCTTTATCTCTGCAAAACGGTTGTATTCAGCACCAAAGGTTCTATCGAGCATCATTATTATTTTTTGTATAGCTAAACGGGTGGTATTATTTACTTTTGCCACCAATGTTTATAAATGAGACTTGGTAGAAATCTATCAGCCATATCGCAAATTTCAGGTAAATTCGTAATTTATGCACAACTAAGACGTCATTTAAGATTTCGTAAAGCATTTAGTTCAACCAGAAATGAACGTATAAAATATGAAATGTATAATACAAAATTGAGTAACTTATTAATAACAATGATATAAAGATTAATTGTAACCAATTGATTATTATAACTAATTTAAAACCTTGTCCAAAATAAACCCCATAAGCAATTAATAAAATATATGTTTTATAAGATAATCAACGCAAAAATGGGTGAACGCTTATAGCTTTGAACGCAGAGTGTCAATACGTGATTGGGCTGTTTTCTGTAATTCCAAAAGCTTCATCGCCATGCCCATATTGCCTTGAATCTTAATTTTGCCTTGGAAGAAAGCCTTTTGTGGAGGCAATTTGCCAGTAATTAAATCGGTAACATCTTCATCATTAATGGTGAAAGTGACGTCACATTTGTCTGCAAGAGAAACCACCAAGAGTTTATTACTGCTTTTGTTTTACATTCGTCATCGCACTTACCATATCCATTGAATGTAACCTTGCCTTTGCGTTGCTTGGCGTTAATGATCCAAAAACCGGTCTGTCCATTCGGCCCGTTTATTACTTTGAAGCCGTACACAGCACGCACCTTTTCAATAAGATTGTCCTGATCTTCTTCCATTGCGATTTCTAAGAGCTTAAGTAATGGTGTCATTTTAAATCCATCTGCGCTGGTTGCTCCTTTCGCTGCCGCGGTAAAATTATGGCTAACGCTCGCCGCTGCAGGAAAACCGAGACGATACAGAGCAACCACAACGGCACCACCTAAGCCCAAATTGTGTTGCAACGCGAGTTTGCAACTAGGCACCTGACGCTTTTCAGCTAATCCACGCAGTTGCCAACACAGCTCAGCACACTGCGCCAGACCAGTGGCGCCCAATGGATGTCCCTTGGAAATCAATCCTCCGCTGGGATTCACAACGTACTTACCACCGTATGTGTTATCTCCGCGATCAATGAATTCCCCAGCTTTGCCTTCCTCGCACAAACCTAATGCCTCGTAGGTGATCAGTTCATTAGCTGAAAAACAGTCATGCAATTCAACAACATTTACATCCTGTGGTTTGTAATTCGTTTTAGCAAAGAGACGTTGAGTAGCTAAGCGAGTCATATCGTAGCCAGCAATTTTTATGAGGCTTTTTCCGGCAAAGGTGGATTCGGGGTCAGTGGCCATTTCCATGCCAACTATTTCGACTGCCTGCAACTCCAAACCATGCCGACGAACGAATTGCTCAGAAGCCAAAATCGCAGCACCAGATCCATCCGAGGTGGGGCAACATTGTAATTTTGTAAGCACTCCGTCGACTACTTGTGGCGAACGCATAATCTGTTCAAGGGTATATTCATCGCGATATTGAGAGTAGCTAGGCCGTAAAAGAAAAAGTGCTTGATTAGAATGCAAGCGCAAAAGAGTCAAATAGAAAATTGATAAGATAATGCGAGCTAAAACTTTTGCACTTTCGACTTTGAACTTACGGATTATTAATGGAATGCTTGTGATTTTTCCAGGCAATTTTGCCAAAATGTTCAGGCTTTGTGCCGTACTTTTTCATATGCTCCTTGCCAGCATTGCCAAAGATTTGTGCAGCCATAGGACCACTTCCAATTTCGGCAAGCTCAGCCATTTCGGTTATGTGACGCTCCATGGGATTGGCACGGTCAAAATACTAAAAATGTAAGTAAATATTTGATCAAATTTAGTTTTTGGCTAAGTTATTCTCACCTTCGCTGATAACGACCCGCGTTCCATTTTTTCAAAGCCCAAAGCCAGCACACAATCTGCATTTCCAGATTCTATGATTTGCTTGGCCAAATATAAAGCACTGGAGCCGGTGGAGCAATTGTTGTTAACATTAAATATTGGAATGCCAGTCATACCAACGCCATATATAGCTCTTTGTCCGCAAGTTGA